GGGGGGTGCCCGCCCCCGCTCATGCGCAGCGCACCCCGAAGCGCCGGAAGTGCCTCAACACCACCCCCAGCTCCAAATGGACGCTTCCGCCCGCCTCGCTCCGCAACCGGAAGCGCTCCCCGCCTCCCCCCGCCACCACCTCCTGCGCATGCGCCAACCTGGCCCCGCCCCCGACCCACCGCCGCCGCGCCCGCTCCCTCCAGCCCGCTAGGGGGCGCCACGTGACGCAGCGCACCGAGTGGAGGCCCGGCGCCGAGGGCACGTGACAGAAGCCGTAGCCAATCACGTCGCAGCGGCCGAAGGCGTCCTGGTGCCACACCTGCACGTGGAGCCGCGGCCACCCTGCGCACGTGGGACACGCTTAGAACATGCTAAGGACATGCTAAGGACACGCTAAGGACACGTGGGGGCACACACGCACCCTGCAGGCCTTTGGTGGCGTAGTGCACGTCGATGGGGTGGCTCCAGTAAGTGACGTCATCGGCCTGCGGGTCATCCACGTGCGTCTGGCCCGAGGTGAGGCCTGAGAGCGGCCGCCAGGCGGCGCCTGCGGGGAACGGGAGCTGTGGGGCGCTCTGTGGAGGCTCTATGGGGCTCTATCATCTCTATGGGGACTCTATGGAGTCCCTATGGTGTCTATGGGGGCTCTATGGAGTCTCTATGGGGGCTCTGTTGGTCCCTATGGGTCTCTATGGAGTCTCTATGGGGCTCTATGCAGTCCCTATGGTCTCTATGGGGGCTCTGTGGTGGCTCTGTGGGTCCCTATGGGGCTCTATGGGGTCTCTATGGTCTCTGTGGGGCTCCATGGAATCTCTAGGGTCTCTATGGGCATCTCTGTGGGGCTCTATGGGGGCTCTGTGGGTCCCTATGGGTCTCTATGGTCTGTATGGGGGTTCTATGGGTCTCTATGGAGTCTCTATGGGGTCTCTCTATCATCTCTATGGTGCCTCTATGGGCGTCTCTATGGGGCTCTTTGGGGTCTCTATGAGGTCTTTATGGGGTCTCTGAGGTCTCTACAGGGTCTGTATGGGGATCCCTATAGGGTCTCTTTGGGGTCCCTATGAGGGTCTCTATGGGGCACTCTATGGAGTCTCTATGGGGTCTTTATGGGGGTCTCTATGAGGTCTCTATGGGCATCTGGGGTCTCTATGGCAGTTTCTATGGGGGTCTCTATGGAGCCTCTATGGGGCTGTACGGGTCCCACTCACCCGCCTGCAGCCCCCACTTGCAGAAGAGGCGGCGCTGGGGGAAGCCGCTGCCCCCCACGATCTGGCCCAGGAGGTGCAGCTCCGCCATGGGGGGGGCTATGGGGGGCAATGGGGGAGGAGACGCTCAGTGCCCCCCCACACTGCACCCCCATTGCTCCCATTGCCCCCCATTGCAGCTCCATTGTCCCCATTGCAGCCCCGTTGCCCCCCATTGCAGCCCCATTGCCTCCCATTGCAGCTCCATTGCCCCCACTGCCGCCCCATTGCCCCCCATTGCAGCCCCATTGCACCCATTGCAGCCGAATTGCATCCCTATTGTCCCCCATTGCAGCCCCACTACCCCCCTTTGCAGTCCCATTGCAGCCCCATTGTCCCCATTGCCGCCCCATTGTCCCCATTGCTGCCCCACTGCCCCCCATTGCAGTCCCATTGCAGCCCCATTGCCGCCATTGCAGCTCCACTGCCCCCCATTGCAGCCCCATTCCCCCCCATTGCAACCCCATTGTCCCCATTGGTCCCCATTGCAGCCCCATTGTCCCCCATTGCCCCCACCTCCAGCTCCCGGCGCTGCAGACCACGACCGATCTCAGCGCAGACGCACTTCCGGCGCGCGTTGCCACGGCAACGCGCCAGCCGCGCTAACGCCGCCACCCCATTGGCTGGCGCCACCGTAAGCCCCGCCCAGGAAGGGTGACGCCCTCTTGGGAGCACGGCGGTACTGCAGCGCTGGACCGGCGGGATGGGCGCCGCCATCTTGGGTGGGCCAGCATCCGGGGAGTTCTGTACGGCGCCTTGGGCGCCGCCATGTTGTGCATACGACACTTGGGGGCCGCCATATTAGGCGTACCAGCAACTAGGGAGGGCCGTATGGCACCGTGGGGGCCGCCATCTTGGATACACGACCACTTAGGTGCCGCCATCTTGGATGCACCAGCATTTAAGCACTGCTGTATGGCACTTGGGTGCCGCCATCTTTATGTACGGCATATGGGCGCCATCATCTTGGATGCACCAGTACCTAAGCAGTGCTGTACAGCACCTTAGTGCCGCCATCTTGAACATACGGCACTTGGGGGCCGCCATATTAGGTGTACCAGCATCTAGAGAGGGCCGTATGGCACCATGGGGGCCGCCATCTTGGATCTACCAGCACCTAGGCAGTGCTGTACGTCGCCATGTTGGTGTATGGCGCCGGGGACAGCACATGGGCGCCGCCATGTTGGATGCCCCACTATATAAGGAATGCTATGCAGTATATTGGGAGCCGCCATCTTTGCATACGCTACCTGGGCGCCGCCATATTGGACGCACCAACATCTAAGCAGTGTACAGCACATGGGGGCCGCCATCTTTACGTACGGCTCATGTGCGCCGCCATCTTGGACGCACCACCAATAGCGCTGCACGGTGTCTTGGGCGCCGCCATCTCTGTGTACGGCACATGGGCGCCGCCATCTTGGATGGCCTACCAGGACATCTACGGATGCACTCATACCCACAGTGTGGGGCAGGCAGAGGGGGGCTCCTTTACTGCGTGTGCAATGGGACACAGGCCCTATGGGGACAGTCCAGCTGCCCCCGCTTGCGGGGGGTTTGATTCCATGTCACAACTTGGAATACCTCCTCCGTATGGAGTCGCGATAGAACTGGAAGATGGTGTCGGCGGCGCTCTGGGCCGCAGCGATGCACTGCTGCATCTGGGAGGAAAAGGGGGTGCTGTGATGGGTGCTACCCCCCCCTTAGCACCCATAGCACCCATAGCACCCATAGCACCCATAGGCTCATCCCCATGCCCTCACCTCCTCCATGGAGCAGGTCCCTTTGGTGCTGGCCATCAGCACCTTCCTCTCGGTGCTGTCAATGGCGAAGGTGAGGACGGCGCGAGCCTCCTGCAATGGGAAAGGGGGGGGTTAGGATGGTTATAGGGGGGTCAGGATGGTTATGGGGGGGTCAGGATGGTTATAGAGAGTCAAGATGGTTATAAGGGGTTAGGATGGTTATAGGGGGTTCACGATGGTTATAGGGGGTCGCGATGGTTAGAGGGGGGTTGCGATGGTTATAGGGGGGTCACGATGGTTATGGGGGGTCACCATGGTTATAGAGGGGTCACCATGGTTATAGGGGGGTCACGATGGTTATGGGGGGGTCGCGATGGTTATGGGGGGGTCACGATGGTTACGGGGGGGTCACGATGGTTATGGGGGGGTCACCATGGTTATAGGGGGGTCACGATGGTTATGGGGATCACCATGGTTATGGGGGGTCACCATGGTTATAGGGGAGTCACCATGGTTATAGGGGGGTGCAATGGGATTGGGGAGCCCCCACCTGCTCCTGCCGGGTGCTGGGGTCCAACACGAGGGAGCCATCGGGGAGCAGGGCGCAGGCGACGCCGCAGAAGAGGGAGGCCAGGGGCAGGCCCGCGTCCAACAGCCCCATGCAGGCGGCGTTGAGGCAGCACGAGAGCAGCTTGGGGGGGGGGTTAAGGAAGAAATGGGGGGGAACCCCTCCCCCACACACCCCCAACAGGGAGAAATGGCCAAAAATCGATGTTTTCTACCCCAAATTCCCCCTTTCTCACCCCAAATCCCCCCTTTTCCTTCCTTGGTTTCTACCTACCCCCCCTTCCCACCCCAACCCCCCCTGTTTCTTACCCCAAATCCTGTTTTCCACTCACCAAACCTCTTTTTCTACCCCAAAACCTCCTTTTCTCACCCCAATATCCCCATTTCCCCCCCAAATCCCCCTTTTCCCTTCCAATATCCCCTTCCCCCCCACCAAACCCCCCCGGTTTCTCACCCCAAAACCACCCCTTTCTCACTCAACCCCCCCATTTTCCACCCCCAAAACCCCTTTTCTCACCACAAAAGCACTGTTTCTTACCCATAACCCTCGTTTCTTACCCAAAACCCCCCTTTTTCACCCCAAAACCCCCCTTTCTCACTCAACCCCCCATTGTCCACCCCAAAAACCCCTTTTTCACCCAAAATTTTTTACCCAAAACCCCCCTTTCTCACCCCAAAACTTGCTAATTGCCATAACCCTTATTTCTTACCCAAAACCACCATTTTTCACCCCAAATTCCCCCTTTCTCACTCAGCCCCCCATTTTCCACCCCCAAAACCCCTTTTCTCACCCCAAAACCCCCATTTCTCACCCCAAAAGCCCCTTTAGTCACTCAAACCCTCCCTTTCTCACCCTAAATCCCCCTTTCTCACCCCAAAAATCCCCTTTTTACCCCAAAACCTCCTTTTCTCACCCAAATCCCCCCTTTCTCACTCACTCCCCCATTTTCCACCCCCAAAACCCCCCTTTCTCACCCCAAAACCCCCGTTTCTTACCCATAACCCTTATTTCTTACCCAATCCCCCAAATCCCCCTTTTTCACCCCAAAACCCCCCCTTTTCTCACTCAACCCCCCATCACACACCCCCAAATTCCCCATTTTCCACCCCAAAACCCCCTTTCTCACCCCAAAACCCCACTTTCTTACCCATAACCCTCGTTTCTTACCCAAAACCCCCCTTCTTCACCCCAAAACCCCCCCTTTCTCACTCAACCCCCCATTTCCCACGCCAAACCCCCCCTTTCTCAACGAAAACCCCGCTTTCTCACCCCAAAACCCCCCCTTCTCACTCAACCCCCCCATTTTCCACCCCAAAACCCCCATTTCTCACCCCAAAACCCCCTTTTGTCACTCAAAACTGCCTTTTCTCACCCCAAAATCCCCCTTTTCTCACCCCAAAACCTTTTTTCTCACCCCAAAATCAATTTTTCTCACCACAAAACCACCTTTTCCCACCCCAAAACATCCTTTTCCCACCCCAAAACCCCCCTTTCACTCAAGCCCATTTTCCAGCCCCAAAACCCCCTTTCTCACCCAAAAGCCCCATTTCTTACCCATAACCCCCTTTTCTCACCCAAAACCCCCCTTTTTCACACCAAAATCCACCCTTTCTCACTCAATGCCCCCATTTTCCCCCCCCAAATTCCCCATTTTCCACCCCCAAAACCCCCTTTTCTCACCCCAAAACCCCCGTTTCTTACCCATAACCCTCATTTCTTACCCAAAATCCCACTTTTTCACCCCAAAACCCCCCCTTTCTCACTCAACCCATTTCCCACGCCAAACCCCCCCTTTCTCAACAAAAACCCCGCTTTCTCACCCCAAAACCCTCCCTTCTCACTCAACCCCCCCCATTTTCCACCCCAAAACCCCCATTTCTCACCCCAAAACCCCCTTTTCTCACCCAAATCCCCCATTTCTTACCCAAAATCCCCATTTTTTCCCCCAAACCCCCCTATTTCCCCCCCCCAAGGATACGGAGCCGCCATCGCTCAGCACCTGCAGGCCCAGGCTCAGGGAGCAGCGCGGGTGCAGCCCCCCCAGCACCACGGCCTCGCACGTGCGGCGCAGGAGCTGCTCCCGGCTGCGCTCCCCCACCCCTGCAACGGCACCGGCGGGGATCGAAACGGGGGGGGGAACCCCAAAATGGCCGCTCTATGGGGGGACCCCCCCCCCAAGGCCTCTCTATGGGGAACTCCCCCCAAAGGCCTCTCTATGGGGGAACCCCCCTTTCTAAAGGCCTCTCTATGGGGGAACCTCCCCTTTCTAAAGGCCTCTCTATGGGGAACCCCCCCTTTCTAAAGGCCTCTCTATGGGGAACCCCCCTTTCTAAAGGCCTCTCTATGGGGGAACCCCCTTCCAAAGGCCTCTCTATGGGGGGGCATCTTCCCCCCCCCCAAAGGCCTCTCTATGGGGGGAGCCCCCCACTTCCAATGACCCCTCTATAGGGGACCAACCCCCCCTTCTATGGGGGACTCTCCCCCCTTTCTAAGGCCCCTCTATGGGGGAGAACCCCCCCCCCAAAGGCCCCTCTCTGGGGAAACCCCCCCTTCCAATGGCCCCTCTATGGGGTGAACCCCACACTTCCAAAGGCCCCTCTATGGGGGGAAACCCCCTCCCTTCTAAAGCCCTCTGTATGGGAAGGCCCCCCCCATAAGTGGCCCCTCTATGGGGAAGGGAGGGGGGACGGGACCGGACCCTACCGGGCAGCCCCACTTTAGGCCGCAGCACCACCTCCAGCGCCGCCCGCTCCGGGAGCTCCCGGTTCCCTTTGGCTTCGGCGGGGCCGTAAAGTGCGGCCAACACGGAGGTATCGCCTGTGGGAAGGATGCGACGCGGTCAGTGAGGCCCTATATCGCGACAGACCGCCGTCCCGATAGCCGCATATCGCGATAGCTCATGGCCCGATAGCCGTATAGCCGCTGCCGTTGGGTCTATGGGGTTCCGAGGAGGCGGGGAAGGGGCCCGCACCCTGCATGAAGGCGGCGGAGCCGTCGGGTCGCGACAGCAGCCCCAGCTCGCAGGAGAAGGGCCGCAAACAACATCCGCTGCTCGCCGCCATCTTGGCCTCTCTCAACACCGCCGCCTCCCATTGGCCGCGGCTGTCTGGGAGCGTAGCAGCGCGCGCTCCCATTGGTCACGCCTTCCCGCCCCCCCTTCCGGAGCCACGCCCACAAAGGAAGATGGCGGCGTTGAGGGTGCTGCTAGCGCGGCTCCTGAGGGCGCGGGGGCGGCACCGCGGCGAGCGAGCCGCATATCGCGATAGCCCCCGTCCCGATAGCCCCATATCGCGATAGCCCCCGTCCCGATAGCCCCATATCGCGATAGCCCCGGTCCCGATAGCCGTGTATCCGCTGTCATTGGCCCTGTGAGGGGGGTGCGGAGCGGGTTCCGAGGCCGCGGGGAAGGGGTCCGTACCCTGCATGAAGGCGGCGGAGCCGTCGGGTCGCGACAGGAGCCCCATCTCGCAGGAGAAGGGCCGCAAACAACATCCGCTGGTCGCCGCCATCTTGGCCTCTGTCAACACGGCCGCCTCCCATTGGCAGAGAGCAGCGCGCTCTCCTATTGGTTACGCCTTCCCGCCCCCTTCCGGTGGCCACGCCCACGAAGGCAAGATGGCGGCGCTGAGGTTGCTGCGGACGCGCCTCCTGAGGGCGCGGGGCCGCGGCTTCGGCACCGCGGTGAGTGAGCCCCATATCGCGATCGCCCCCGTCCCGATAGCTCCATATCGCGATAGCCCATGTCCCGATAGCCGTAAATCCGCTGCTTTTGGGCTGGTTTTGAGCGGGTTCTGAGGGGGTTTGGGGCCTCCTCCATCCCGTCCGTTGTTCCCGTAGGAATTCCCTGAGGAGAAGCCGCAGTTCCCGGGGGCCTCGGCGGAGTTCGCGGAGCGCCTGGAGTTCATTCAGCCCAACGTCATCTCCGGTATCCCCGTGTACCGCGTCATGGACCGGCAGGGCCACATCCTGCGCCAGAGCGAGGACCCCCAGGTCAGGCCCCGGGCCCGGCCGCGGGCCCTGTTATCTATAGGGATGGGGCCCTCCGAATACACGTTATCGACATGTATGACCCCCCCCATATGTATGGTCTCCTACATGTATGGTCTCTCATAGATGTGTGGTCTTCTAGCTACATGTTATTAGCATGTATGACCCCCAAAACATACATTATTAGCATGTATGATTTACCAACTACGTTATTAGCATGTATGACCCCCAAAATGTGGGTTATTAGCATGTGCTATCTTTCAACTACATGTTATTGACATGTATGACCCCTGAAACACATGTTGTTAACATGTATCATCTCCCAATTACATGTTATTAGCATGTATGACCCCCAAAACGTGCTATTAAAATGTATCATTTTTCAACTACATGTTATTAACATGTAGTACCCCAAAAATATATGTTATTAACATGTATCATTTGTCAATTACATGTTATTAGCATGTATAACCCCCAAAATATACGTTATTAATGTATTAGTTCCCAATAACATGTTATTAACATACAATCCCCAAAACACGTCATTGGCATGTATAGTCTTTTAACTACACTGTATTAACATGTATGACCCCCAAAACACATGTAATTAACACATATTATGTCTTAATTACATGTTATTAACATGTACAACCCCCAAAACATATGTTATTAGCATATGTGTTGTCCCAACTACATGTTATTAACATGTATGATCTCCAGAGCATGTTATTAGCAGGTATGACCCACCAAATACAATGTATTAACATGTATGATCTTCAAAACATGTATTATTAGCATGTACGATTTGCCAGTTACATGTTATTAGCATGTATGGCACCCAAAATGTATGCTATTAACATATAGGGTATCCCAGTTACATGTTATTAGCATGTATGTCCCCCCACAAGGTATGTTATCGTGTATGATCTTCCAACTACATATTATTAGCATGTATGAACCCCAAATACTTGGAGCAGCACCCAAAAGCCGTGTTATCCATAGGGGTCATCCCCCAAACCCGTGGCATTACCATGTGTGAGCCCCATAGTACACGCTATCAACATGTGTGGCTTCCCAAATGCATGTTATGGGCATGTATGGCCCTTCAAAGACGTGTTACCAACATGCATGACCCCCAAAACATATGTCATTAACATGTATGACTTCCCAAATACATGTTAGTAGCATGTATGTTTTCAAATACATGTTATCAACATGTATGAGTGTTCAGTTACATGTTATCAACATGTATGAGCCCCCAACACATTATCAACATGCAGAATCCACCAAACACGCTTAACATGTGTGACCCCCAATACATGTTTTGAACATGTATGACTTTGAAATACATGCTATCAACATGTATGACCCCCCAAACCCATGCTATCAACATGTATGACCCCAAACCCATGCTGTTAACATGTATGACCTCCCAAACCCATGCTATCAACAGGTATGACCCTCTAAACCCATGCTATCAACATGTATGACCCCCCAAACCCATGCTGTTAACATGTATGACCCCCCAAACCCATGCTGTTAACATGTATGACCCCCCAAACCCATGCTATCAACATGTATGACCCCCCAAACCCATGCTATCAACATGTATGACCCCCCAAACCCATGCTATCAACATGTATGACCCCCCAAACCCATGCTATCAACATGTATGACCCCCCAAACCCATGCTATCAACATGTATGAACACCCAAACCCATGCTATTAACATGTATGACCCCCCAAACCCATGCTATCAACATGTATGAACACCCAAACCCATGCTATCAACATGTATGAACACCCAAACCCATGCTATCAACATGCATGACCCCCCAAACCCATGCTGTCAACATGTATGAGCCCCCAACCCATGCTATCAACATGTATGACCCCAAACCCATGCTATTAACATGTATGATTCCCCAAACCCATGCTATCAACATGTATGAACCCCCAAACCCATGCTATCAACATGTATGACCCCCAAACCCATGCTATCAACATGTATGACCCCAAACCCATGCTATTAACATGTATGGACCCCCAAACCCATGCTCTCAACATGTACGACCCTCCAAACCCATGCTATCAACATGTACGACCCCCCAAACCCATGCTGTCAACATGTATGACCCCCAAACCCATGCTATCACATGTATGACCCCCAAACCCATGCTATCAACATGTATGACCCCCCAAACCCATGCTATCAACATGTATGACCCCAAACACTCTAGCAACATGTATGACCCCCAAGCAAGCTATCAACATGTATGACTCCTAAAGCACGCTATCAACATGTATGACCCCCAAAACACGCTAACAACATGTATGATCCCCCCCAAGCTGCCCAAGGAGCTGGTGCTGAAGCTGTACAAGACCATGACCCTGCTCAACACCATGGACCGCATCCTCTATGAGTCCCAGCGCCAGGTAGGGCACACGCATGAGCACGGACACGCAAACGGCCCCATCCCAAGGGGGGGGACCCCAAATCCTCCTTTCCCCCCCAAAATCCCCCTTTCCCCGACCAAAATCCCCATTTCCGCTGCCAAATCCCCCTTTTCTCTTCCCATATCCCCTTTCCCCCTCAAATCCCCCTTTCTCCCCCAAATCCCCCTTTCCCCCGCAATCCCCCTTTCCCCCCCCAAATCCCCCTTCCCCCCCATCCCCCTTTTTCCCCCCCAAATCCCCCTTTCCCCCCCCAAATCCCCCTTCACCCCCAATCCCCCTTTTTCCCCCCCAAATCCCCCTTTTCCCCCCCAAATCCCCTTTCCTCCCCCAAAATCCTCTTTCCCATCCCCCAAATCCCCCTTCCCCCCCAAAATCCCATTCTCCCCCCTCAAATCCCCCTTTTCCCCCCTCCCTCCCAAATCCCCCTTTTCCCCCCAAAACCCCCCTTTCCCCACCCCAAATCCCCCTTAAATCCCCCTTTTTCCCCCCAAATCCCCCCTTCCCCCCAATCCCCCTTTCCCCACCCGAAATCCCCCTTTTCCCTTCCCATATCCCCTTCCCCCCAATCCCCTTTCCTCCCCCAAAATCCCCTTTTCCCCCCAAAATCCCTGTTTTCTCCCCCAAAATCCCCCCTTTCCCCCCAAAATCCCCCATTTTCCCCCCCAAATCCCCCTTTTCCCCCCCAAACCCCCTTTTTCCCCTCCAAATCCCCCTTCCCCCCCCAAATCCCCCTTTTTCCCCCAAATCCTCCTTTTCCCCCCCAAATACCCCTTTTCCCCCCTCAAATCCCCCTTTTCCCTTCCAATATCCCCTTCCTCCCCCCAAATCTAACCTTAACCCTAACCCTTTTCCACCCCAAAATCCCCTTTTCCCCCCAAAAATCCCCCTTAAATCCCCTTTCCTCCTCCAAATCCCCATTTCTCCCCAATCCCTCTTCCCCCCAATATCCCCTTCCCCTCCCCAAATCCCCTTTCCTCCCCCAAAATCCCCTTTTCCCCCCCCAAAATCCCCCATTTCCCCCCCAAACCCCCCCTTCCCCCCTATCCCAGGGCCGCATCTCCTTCTACATGACCAACTACGGCGAGGAAGGCACCCACGTGGGCCGCGCGGCCGCGCTCGACGACACCGACCTGGTCTTTGGCCAGTACCGAGAGGCAGGTACATGGGGGGGGGGGGTACCCCCATTTTGGGCTCATTTTAGGGGTTCCCCCCTTCATTTCCCCCTCTCTTTGCAGGTGTCCTTATGTACCGGGGGTACCCCTTGGACCTGTTCATGGCTCAGTGCTATGGGAACAGCAAGGACCCCGGTAAAGGGCGGCAGATGCCGGTGCACTACGGGTGCCGCGAGCGGCACTTTGTCACCATCTCGTCGCCTCTGGCCACCCAGATCCCTCAAGGTGCTGAATGGGGATGCATTCCTTGAGCCCATCCTTTATCCCTTCCTTGAGCCCTTGTCCTGGCGTTATCCCTTCCTTGATCCCATCCTTTATCCCTTCCTTCAGCCCTTTCCCCCTTTTCCCAACGTTATCCCTTCCTTTATCGCTTTTCCTGGCATTATCCATTCCTTTATCCCATCTTTTATACCTTCCTTTAGCCCTTTCCCCCTTTTCCCAGCATTATCCCTTCCTTTATCCCTTTTCCTGGCATTATGCCTTCTTTTGTCCCATTCTTCATTCCTTTTCCTGGTGTTATCCCTTGCTTTATCCCTTTTCTTGGCATTATCCCTTCTTTTATCCCATCCTTTATCCGTTCTTTTATCCCTTTCCACCTTTTCCTGGTGTTATCCCTTCCTTTAGCCCTTTTCCTGGCGTTATCCCTTCCTTTATCCCATCCTTTATCCCTTCCTTCACCCCTTTCCTCCTTTTCCTGGTGTTATCCCTTCCTTTATCACTTTTCCTGGCATTATCCCTTCTTTTATCCCATTCTTAATCCCTTTTCCCGACATTATCCCTTCCTTTAGCCCTTTCCCCCTTTTCCTGGCGTTATCCCTTCCTTTATCCCTTTTCCTGGTGTTATCCCTTCCTTTATCCTTTTTCCTGGCATTATCCTTTCTTTTACCCCATTCTTTATCCCTTTTCCGGGCATTATCCCAATCCCAATCCCAGTTATCCCAATCCCAATCCCAATTACCCCAATCCCAGTCACCCCAACCCCATTTACCCCAACCCCATTTACCCCAACCCCATTCACCCCAACCCCATTCACCCCAACCCCTCTCTCTCCCCCCCGCAGCCGTGGGTGCCGCCTACGCCATCAAGCGGGCGGACGCCAACCGCGCCGTCATCTGCTACTTCGGCGAGGGGGCGGCCAGCGAGGGCGATGCCCACGCCGGCTTCAACTTCGCCGCCACCCTGGAGTGCCCCATCGTGTTCTTCTGCAGGAACAACGGCTACGCCATCTCCACCCCCACGGCAGAGCAGTACCGCGGCGACGGCATCGGTAGGGAACACACAGGGGGGGT